CTCCTGGCCTCAAGTGATCCTCCTGCCTTGGCCTCCTAAAGTACTGAGATTGCAAGCATGAATCACTGTGTCCAGCCAGGGAAGCAAATTCTTTAAATTGTATAATGGCTTCCATTTATAATATTTTGTTTTCTAGGACCTGGGCCCTTCCCAGGGATCATTGACATCTTTGGTATTGGAGGCGGCCTGCTGGAATACCGAGCCAGCCTCCTTGCTGGCCATGGCTTTGCCACGTTGGCTCTAGCTTATTATAACTTTGAAGATCTCCCCAGGAACTTGAACATCATACCTCTGGAGTACTTTGAAGAAGCCCTGTGCTACATGCTTCAACATCCCCAAGTTCTCCGTGTGTCCTTTGTTTAATTAGTCTCTCTAGAAATATCTCCATAGAGAACGTAACCGTACCACGTACAGTAATGCCACTCTGTTCCTCTTTCACAAAGATTTCTTTTGGAGACTTCCTTGGCTTAAGGTCCCTATTTCTACTTTTTCTGTCAGATAGATTTGTGGTATAGAATGAATTGTAAAATCCATGTGAGATTTTATTTAGTAACATTAAATATTATCTGTGCATTGCAAATTGAACTTCCAATCTATTGTCTTTGCATGCTTGTTTTTTAACTTTAATTTTCTGATGTCAGAGTATGTTCTCAGATTTTGGTCAGAACTTGTTCACCCTTTTTAGAAGCTAAGAACAAATTTACTTATTCTAAAGTCTTGCTTTGTAGTCATTTCCCAATACATATCATCCAACACCTTTCATCCAACAACTGAGGGTGGTGTGAGGCAGAGATGCTTTCTATGGGGTGGGTTGGGCGCCACACCCTGCATGCCCTGGAGCCCTAGAAGACCCAGGAGAGAAGCCTGGCTCCTTTTGCCTCAGACGAGTCCAGGGCGCCAGGTTAACCGGACTGAAGTCCCACCCGCTCTCTGGGACTACTCAGCCACCGACTGAGGATCTGATGAATGATTCACATCTTGGAACAGAACTTCGTTCCACACTATTGGATGCATTGCCACATTAAGACTTCAGTCAGGCCTACCTCAATGTGGCCCTGAACTTGATGGGCTCCGTGGCTCAGTATTCTCTAGTGGATAATTCTCTGACATGTTTATAATCAGTTTCCAAATTTTTCAGTGATTTTAAGATTTGACTGTCATGTGGCCAGGCATGGCAGCTCACGCCTGTAATCCCAGCACTTTGGGAGGCCAAGGCAGGTGATCACGAGGTCAGGAATACAAGACTAGCCTGGCCAATATGGTGAAAACCCATCTCTATTAAAAATACACAAAAATTAGCCAGGCGTGGTGGCACACACCTGTAGTCAGCTACTTGGGAGACTGAGGCAGAAGAATCACCTGAACCCGGGGGGCGGAGGTTGCAGTGAGCCGAGATCACACCACTGCATTCCAGCCTGGGTGACAGAGTGAGACTCTGTCTAAAAAAAAAAAAAAAAAAAAAGATTTGTCTGTCAGGTGTTCAACCAGATACTCTGTACCTGGGAAGAAACTTCCCTGTCAGCTGAGGTTGATTTTCTTGCGGATGATTCCCAGATTAAAGCTAGCAGCATCTCTGTTTGCATTTTAGAAAAATGTTTTTGAATTGGATAATTTTTGGTTTTTGTTTGTTTTTGTTTTGAGATGGAGTCTCGCTTTGTTGCCCAGGCTGGAACGCAGTGGTGCAGTCTTGGCTCACTACAACCTCTGCCTCCCTGGCTCAAGCAATTCTCCTGTCTCAGCCTCC